TACATTTTACTCTTATGAGGGGTCTTACTTAATGGAGTCATTCTACTGAGCTGGGCATAAGGCCAGTGTGACAGTATTTGGACCCTGTTCTGAACCTTTGTACTGAATTGAACTTGGCTGTGTAGGCAGTCCAATAGCAAAGGTGATTCCTCGGCAAGAAAGGGATCTTAGAGAAAGATAAAAGACTCAGGCCCTGCTAGAGGGAATCATTCCCTCCTGCTTTGCTAACACCAGGCTTTCTTACACCTGCTGCAAAGCTGGACTGTCAGAACCACTGTGTTTCACCTCACCCAGGGCACTCATAGCACCTGAGATTGGGCACAACTTTGTCATGGCTTTGGTACTGATCCTGACATAGGAATGGGATTTGCCCCACTTCTACAAAGGAGACATCTCCAGCTAGCATAGTTGCCCAAGGGCTGGCAACTATGGTAAGCACTGCAGAGAAGCAATCCTTTCTAAGGTGGCATTCATGTCTTGTTAAAGTAGGTGTCTGAAATAGGTCAACTGAGTCAGTCTGAGAAGTACCAATTGCTCTCCATTGCCTACTAAGGGATTGTAGGTATCTAGTTCAAATGCAGATGTGTGGTTATATGAGATTAATACCATCCCTGTTGACCTTTGGCAAGTCTCTTGCTACTTTAGTTTCATCTGCAGGCCAGCTATAAGGATGTCTGCCTTATTTTGATACCTCTTCTCCAAGAACAATTAAAGGTAAAAACTGAGTTTTGATTATTAATATTACTGTCCTTTAAAAATAGTAAAGGACTCTCTCACTTCATGGGTTTTATTGTTTGTTTTGTTTTAGCTACATTTATTTTAGCTCTTTAATTTTCTGTGCACGTTTTCAGGGAATTTATTTATTTATCTATTTATCTTTCTATCTATAGGCCTAAAGAAGAGAAAGAGAACGAGAATTCTGCTCAACCAAAGAGACTCACAACTCCTATCGGCCTTCCCATCCTGCTCCTGTGCTTCTTTCCACTCATTCATCCTAGATCTCCCTTTTTCGTCTTTAATCCCTTCCCACTGGCTATCCAATTTAGCTAGACCAAATTCCCCCCAACCAGCCTTCTCAAAGCTTGTTCCCGTTCTCTTGTTGGCACAGCAATGAGAAAACAAAAGAAATATAATTGCTACTTCCAATGGCTGTGTTTGGATGTGAATGCGGCAGGGGAGGGACTCTGTCTGTGTGGGAATCCCTGTTGACTCAGTTGCTTTCCTCAGCACAGCTGCATGGAAAAGAGTGAAGCCCTTCTAGGTTTAAGTCACAAAGCATTGCTGAGCCAGCTACTTACAAAGGGATGAGAGTTTTGCAATCACAGGCAGATTTCCCACAGATACAAAGGTACATCCCCAGTGCAAGACCACCAACCTGACAGATTTTGAATCTGTGTCACACTGTCTGGGAGGTAAATTTTCTCGGAGGAAAGACCACCAGATCTTTTTAATGTAGATGAAAATACTCATTTTTACAGTGTTCTTGGAAATGGATGAGTCCATCTGTGCTATTTTGTCCTTCTCAATGTCCCTCCACATCAAGGTAAAACTCTAGAGGCAGCTGAGGAAATTCTGACATACTTAACAGGACTATCTCTAGTAACTTCTGTAGTAGTCAGGCTATTCACACTGCTATTCACAGCTAATAAAACAGTGCATAGCATAATTTACCCACAAATTTCATTCAGCTCCAAAGCTCAGATGACTTGCTACCCCTCCTTCCCAATGGAAAAATTCTGCTCTCACAGAGAGATTTTACAGTCAACTACACCAAACCTTAAATAAACAAGGTTAAAAAGTTGCCCATATTGGGTCTTTGCCTGATTTATTGTTGGGTCTGATTCAGTAGATATGAGTGATGTGAGTAGGTATGAGTGAGCTGAAATGCTGAGTCCACACAACCCATATTTTGTATATGGCATAAGTACATGAACTCAGGCGCCTGCAACGTGTCATCCACAGAAGTCATCGTAATGTTCCTAAAAATTGTTAAAAAAAACATAAGTATGGCATGAAGGAAAGATATAAAAGCTATGGGGATATCTGCATATACTTTTAAGGAGCATCTGTTGTATGTGAGCCTGTGAAGCTGCTTCCTGCATTCCGACGCACCACCCTTGTTCATTTTCTGTTCAATTTACACTCTGTGTGACATTGGCCATTTTTCTCAAACAGCATTGTAGGGCTGGTTATGATGCATCTCTATACCTCTGCTTGTCCAGTCTACACCTAAAGACACCAAAAGATGAGGAGTCACAGCTTCCCCTCACAACCTCTCTCAGTATTTCACCATCCCCATTATTTATCTAATCTCAAAATTCCTTGTTGCTGTTTAAACCCATCCTAACTTTCCCACCATGGACACGGAAACCAGACAGCTCCCTGCCATTATGCATCAAACTTACAGTTAACTAAAGGCTGTTATCATCCCCTCCACTTCCCAGTACTCTTTTCTTGTTATTAAATCATGCTGATATTCAGGGTTTTTTTTTTCCAAATATAGGTTTTATGAACCACTGACCATTGTCTCCTGAATTCCCTATGAATGGTCTACATCTGTTGCAAAGCCCAGTCTCCAAAATCAGACATATCTTATAGTTGAGGACACCTCTTGGCTGCGCAGGGTAAATGACAGATGGAGCGTGTCAGGCTTCTCCATGTCTGTCACAGCATGTCACCATGTCAGGCTCATAACTGCAGATATCTCAACATGGTCTGGTTGACTCTTACATGTCTTTCAAGGCTGAGTGGTAGAAACCAAGCATAACCAAGGATATCATAGCCACCCTGACAAGAGAAACAGGACAAACCATTCAGGAGGGAATGAAGAAGGGCAGGCAGAGTACACTCTGAACCACTAGCATCATGAGGCTAAGAGGCTATGGTGAGTAGAATGAGTGCACGGCACAGAGGATACTCATCAGATTGCTCCTGGGCGCTGATAATCCCCACCCAATGGAACCAGTCACACTCCTGTATCGGGATCATAAGTCACAGATAGTGGAATTTGACAGGTGGTTCTGCTAGGGCATTCACATCCTTGGTGTGGCTACATTTATCAGTCTGCAATAAGCTTCAAGCCTCTCCTACATCATCCTCTCAAACCACAACGTATGGCATATCTCTATTTCTGCTTATACTGCACTCCCAAATTGCCTTTCACACTCTTCCTGAATTGCACACAAAACCTTTGCCTTAGAGCAAAGGAGTCTCAAGGAATGGGGAACTAGAGCAGGGTCTGAGGCTGCGGGTCAGCCCACCTCTGCCAATCTGCACAGCAAGAGGTTGTGTCCTGCATTCCGAGGTTAGCGAGGCACATCAGCGGAAGCAGCTTTTCCCAAAACACCTGCTGCTCACCCAAACTCCCCTGCCTCACCTCAGCATACATATAAATCATTGCAAATATGTCAGAAGACCAGGAATGCATCATGGAAACCTTTCCCCTGTAACAGTAGCTGAGTGTAACATTTGCAAGTGTGAAGAGCTCATGTTTGTGCAATAACGCTTCTGTACACCGTGTTCCACCTGGGCCACGGGAAGAGGAGTTCACCGTGACCCTTTTGCAGCATCAGAATTAGGCACAGCCACACTCTCCTGCCATGAAGGAGATGAGGGAGGGAATGGAGAGCTGAAGTCTCCAATTTACTGCTAGCTGAAGCAGTAAGTTGAAGTGACAAAATTCAGATTTCCACCCACTTTCTTCTAAATCTGACATTGTGATGCTATCATTTTCCACAATTTATCTGAGGAAAAGCTACTTTTAGGTATAGCAGCTGAGTCTACTCCATAAAACTCAAATTCAAGAAATCAAGTAATTTTACTGCTCAGTATGCCAGGCAGCAGTGCAGGCAGTTCAGAGAGAGTACTAGTCAGAGTGACTTCGGTGGCCAGGACATGCTCAAGGCTGGTGCAACAACCAGCCTGCCGGAGGGAACACAGAGTCACTGTCAGATTGTCGGTAAAACACTCAGACATAATCTCAAATTTCCTTTGTTAAATGGGAAATCCAGCGTTACTACAATAGACTATAAATATGGGATAATCTCTACTTAAGGAAGAGATAGAAACATCTCTATTCTCTACTTTGGCGGACACAGGCAATGCTTTTATTAGATCAACTGTCTTAAGTATAGCTATTACTTGGTGCATGGCAAAAACAGAGGATGCACCAAGCAGCAAACAAGGCTGAGCATTTGCCAATGATTCGTGAACAATTTGAGACTTATGGATTGTTTTTAAACTGCCAAAATTCACTGGCAGAGTGATGGCAAGTTCATGATATTAACCGAGTTAATCACTCCATGCAAAGTGGAAGATGAGACACTGGAAAGAAACAATCCCAAAATACTCAATAACCTGGTGAATGGAGGAGCACTCAAGACCCATAAGAAAGCAGAGGAAACAACAACCACAGCTAGCGGATGAAGGCTCATTGTTTCCCCCACGATTTCATGTATCTCCCAAAGGAAGCTTTTCCATCACATCTGTGCCACTAATTTGAGTCAAATTTACAGAATATTGGAGTGCCAGGACTCCACTGATACTACCTCTGCTAAAGGCTGTCTGAAACACTCACCCATCCTTGACAGGAGAATTTTGTAAAGGAATAACTGGCAGTTCTGTTCTCCGCTTGGCACTTATCCTGCATATGATGCAGTAGGATGGGCTTTTAAGACAAATACGTTGCCCAGGTTGAAAAAGCATAATAATCAGAACTAGGGATAAGCTTACAGCTTTTGCAAAAGAAAGCCTAAGCAAAGATCACATGATTTTTGTAGCAGAAATCAGAATTTACATTTTGCTTAAATAATACCACATGCAGTGGGATCCCAACATAAGTAGGGCCTCCAGATGCTCAGAAAATAAATTATAATACTTAAAATGTTTGTTTATTTCAATAAAGCTAATAATGTTACTAATTACACTGCTATTAACACTTCTACTGATTATTCATAGCAATAAGAGTAAAGTAGTAATGGATGCAGCGTAACTATAACTACCTTTTCAAAATGGAGATCCCTGGAACCTCTTGCATGTTGAGCAGAAATACAGGCAACAGTCCATCTCTAAAGCTTTCATCTCTATTTGCTGAACAAATCAATGGTCGTCTGTAAAGGAACTGTTCACTTGCTAGCAGGTCAACAGAAAGGTTGACAAACATCAGCACACTGAGAATTAATTTATTTGTAGTAGTGCCAAAGGACAGTATTTGGATAAACAGCTTTAAACTTGTCCTCATACCACCCATTTTCATAAAAGTAGTTCAGAATGGTCTTCTTTGGTATCCAAAAGTAGGTGCTTTTAAGGGTTGAAAAATCTTTATTGCCCTAGATAGTCCAAAAGCAAGAAAAAGTCAACACTGAGAGGGGCCCAGAGCAAATCCTCAGACAGGAATAACTCCAGTTTTAGGGAAGTTCAAAGTCTGGTTCATATAGATGTTTCACAGAAGAGCTTCCTCTGTTCTGAGGACTTCTGCAGCCTGGCAAGCAGTGACACCCAGGTTACAACGAAGAAACGGGGAACTTTGCCAGGAATGAGAACTCAATGGCTAAACCCCAAGGACGGTTCCTGCATGCTCTTCGTCCATGGCCACCAGCCCCCAGGATGCTGTGGGGGTCCCCAAGTAGGAGAGAAAAGTGCTGGTCCTGGGAGTACCCCTACCTGCTGTGCACATGCCAGCACAGCCCATCTCACGGCATGGGAAGAGGCCATCCAGCTGCTGACCTACCTGTCCATAGACATGTCTTCTGGTGGATTCTACTGGATATTACAAGGGCATTAAACAAAATAGTGTCGTTAGAGAGTTAATGTTGTCTCTTTCAAGCTGGTAGGGCAGGCTGCTTTTTAAGTTGATACTCATGAGGATAAGTAGCTGCCACTGCAGAAACAAGCTCCGTGATGTGAAGATCTGCTCAGAGTTTCCTGTTGCTTGCAGCACCCAAGTGCACTTCAGCCTCTGCGGTGCCTCCTTTTGTTGTTGTTGTTGTTGCTTCTTTGGAGGAGCATAGGAGATGTCATCACCAGCATATGAAAACAATCCTCACTTGATGTTACACCAGTAGCCTATTGACATGGAACAGCACAGTAAGCCTTTTTTTGCTGATAAATAAAAATGATTAACCTAACTGGTTGCTGTATATTCATCACTCTTGATACCTGGCAAACATTCTGGTTGTCAAGCAGGTAATATCTGATACATCTGTCCTGCTGTTTATCTCTTGGGCTACGCTATCTCAAGCACCCAGTGCTCATCTCCGTTCTTTGCCTACTCTCTCCAGAGGTCTGATTGAAAGGTATGGTCATAATGATATATATATATATATTTGTTTTTACTCTGACAGTACTAAGTTAATTCTGGAGTTCTGAAAGCTTACAAAAGCTGCAGCTCATACCTACTACCATTATTAATTCCAAACATTTGCTGCCTGCTATTATAACAAACGCTTGCTTAGGACTACATTCAGACTACCTAAAATAGCACTTTGCACTTCAGCTTTGGAACCAAAGCTCCAGGGAGCAGGAGCTATTCCATTTGAGTTGGCTGCTCCCAGAGCCTTAGGTGATAAATAGCCACAGTGTCCACGTTAAGCAATTTGTAAGTGCTGGGTGGAAAACACAGCCCCTATGTCTCTTTTAGCTGGATAAAAAGCCAACTCTGCAGCCCTGGATAGCAAGCAGCTTGTTTGAGCTCTCCTGAGCACACCGTTTTGTAACTAGCACATCAGCTAAGCTTTGTGAAACTCTCTAAGAGGCAGACAGGATACTGCCTGAAGGGCCACATTCAGATAAAGTGGAATTTCAGCTAATTTTGCATCTAGAATAAATAAAGACTGGCAGGCACTTACAAAGTCTTTTCAGAGCAGTTCAGAGAGATTACTAAGGGTGCTGAGTGCCATCTTGCTATTATTGGCACAGATTCAGAAGGTAAAACAGCTTTCACGTGATTGTGGCCATTTCTGATCAATTAAACTATGTCCTGTAAGACTAAAAATAAATGTGCCTATGAGTCCAGTTTTCAGCTTTTGCAATCAATGAAGACAAAAACATGATTCTTCACCCTCCCACCAAGATTTAATGAAATTGCTTTTGGAAGTGTTAAAAACAGCAATTGCAATATAAATCATAAAGAAGAGATTGTTTTATACTCCAAACTACTTTAGTGACCGCTGGAAAGAATACATGCCAAAACTTCCAGTGCTTGGGATGTGACAGCATCCCAGAAGAGATGCAATGTTAGCGTGTGCGTGAAGGGAATTTCTGTGCAGCAGTGGTCACCAAAGACAAAACTGCATTTCACATAAGGTCAGTAAAGTGCCCTTAGGTGTTTTAACTAACTTTTCCTGCCAGGTCTCAGAGTCCAAAATAGTTTTATTTACAACTAGTCAAATCACATGAAAAGATCTGCTGTAGCAGAGTTGTTCTTTTGTGCATCTGCAAAAGAACAAGAGAAACTTCTTTCAATAAAGCATCATTTTAAGTTTCCACTCATCCAATAAACAGTCATGAGACCTACATGAAATTTACCAGACTGCTTTTTCTTGGGTTGGGAATATTTTCTTTCTTTCTGGCTTTCCTTCTACAAGCACTTACAGGGGAATGGATGACATGTGTTTAGGATCTACTGTTAGTATCATCTATGTGGGTTCCTCTGCAGTTTAGCTAACAGAAACCTGATAACTTCAGAAGCACCTGTCTTCATTGCACAGCTCAGAAATCCCCACAAATTTCCTGTCCAAACAAGCAAAACCCCACGGCCCAGTGCATTAGAGACATTAGTGTAGCTACTGACAGAATGGGGAGATGGGACATGCCCTCAGCCTATGTAAAGTACCAGGCATTTCCAGCTGTTATAGAGACCCTACTAAGTGTCACTATCCTGGGATAATCAGTTGTCTGAGTTGGACTGTGTGATCCTTATGAAACCCTTCCAACTACGGATAATGTATAATTCTATAATTCCCTCAAAATCATCTCACAAGATACTAAAGATGGAAAGAGAGAAGAAGAGCCAATACTTTCAGACTGACAGACTGTCAGTTTTGCCAGTCAACAAGTAGTGGTGCTGCAAGGTAGGCAGAACTAGAGTAGACAGGAGACTGGGACCCACTGGGGACATGGCCTCCACCTGCTCCTCACAATGGAGAGGCTCCAGAGGGTGGGGTGTGAGGAATAGTGCTATTCTTGGTTGGGTTTTTCATTTCAAAAGCAGCAAATCTAACCCTATATGATGCTTCACTGCTCATACAGCCACTGCCTCTGACACAGTAGAGACTGGTTTGCGCAAGCAGAAAAATAGCCAGATGTTCATCCTCTTGGCTGATTTCATGTCAACAGTTGTTCTGCAGACTTTACAAACACCACACGATACCAGGTTTGTGGGTCCTTGTTTAGAGCTCACCCCAGTGGGTTCAGAACACAAGAAATCCAGGAAACCTGATAAGAATTAGAACCCACGTGTGGTGAGAAACCCAGTTGGATCTTCAATTTTACCTACTAGTTTTGACACTTTGAAAAGTCTTGTCCTTTCCTTTGCAAGGCTTTACCAAATGTTCCATGTCTTGACGGGTGGAATGAGCAAGAGAATTAGCAACATAAACTGAAAGTGTGCAAATAGGAGGGACTGGAAGTCAAGCAATGACAGAAAAGCCTGAGACTGGAGAAGGAGCCCCAGAGAGCCTCTTGCTTCCCATGACTGAAGGTGAAGTCCATGGTGGAGGGAGAGGCAAGTAATGCCATGACAAGGAGCTATGTTGAGCACAAGAACTGAGGCTAATGAGGCAGATTCATACCAGAGCAGGACAATGACATTACTCAAGCAGCCCCAGAGAGAGACCAATCCATTGATCTAATAATGAGAAATGACCAGGAGTATAAATGAAGAGGGAGAAAGATGAAAGAAAATGATAGATCCTCCTGGAAGACATGTTAAGGCACATGAGGGACAAGCACGTGATCTGAAACAGCCACCATGGCTTCACCAAGGGGAAAGTTGTCCCTGACCAATCTAGTGGTCTTCTATAATGGAGCAACAGCATCAGTGGACAAAGGGAAGGCAACTGATGTCATCTACCTGGACTTCTGCAAGGCCTTTGATGCTGTCCCCCCCCCCACACACACACATCCTTATCTTTAAATTGGAGAGGCATGGATTTGAAGGGTGAACTATTTGGTGGATAAAGAATTGGTTAGAAGGTCACAGCCAGAGGGTTGTGGTCAATGGCTCTATGTACAGGAGGAGGCCAGTGATGAGCAGTGTCCCCCAGGTGCCTGTCTTGGGACTGATACTCTTTAACATCTTTACTGATTGCACAGATGATGGGATCAAGTGTGCCCTCAGCAATTTTGCTGCTGGCAACAAGTTGAGCAGTGTGGTTGATACAGAAGAAGGATGGGATGCCATCCAGAGAGACCATGACAAACTTCAAAGCTGGGCCCATGTGAACTTAATGAGGTTCAACAAAGCAAAGTGCAAGGTTTTGCACTTGGGTCAGAGTGATCCCAGATATGTATGGGAGAAGAAGTCCTTGAGCCCAGCTGAGAACTGAGGACTTAAATGTTCTGGTAGATAAAAAACTTAACATGAGCCAACAGTGTGTGCTTGCAGCCCCAGTGCCCATCAGTATCCTGGGCTGCATCAGAAGAGGGGTGGCCAGATGGAAGAGGGAGGGGATTGTCCCTCTCTACCCTGCCCTCATGAGGCACCCTCTGGAGTATTGCATCCAGGTCTGAGGCCCCCAACACACAGGAAAGATGGTGCTTTTGGAGAGCGTCCAGAGGAGAGCCATGAAGATGATCAGAGGGCTGGAGCACCTCTTCTGCTAAGACAGGCTGAAGGAACTAGGCTTATTCAGTCTGAAGAAGAGAATGTTGTGGGGAGATCTCATTATGGCCTTCCAATACTTAAAGAGAGATTAGAGACGGGAGGGAAATCAATTTTGTATGTGGGTAGATAGCAATAGGACAAGATTGAATGGTTTTAAACTGAAGGAGGGAAGATTTAGATGTCAGGGGAAGTTTTCCACTGAGTGGGTGGCTAAGTGCTGGAACAGGTTACCCAGAGAGGTTGTGGATGGACGTGCTCAAGGCCAGGTTGGATGAGGCCCTGGGCCACC